AAAAAGCAAAAAATAACCTTAAACATGGTGCGCATGGAGATGTTGGGAAGAAGTGAAATACAAATGAAATAGATACGCACCACGTTTAAGGTTATTTTTTCCTTTTTCAAAATGTGGTTTTTTGATTAATTTTTTAATCTACTAAATTTTTTTTCTAATAATGAAACCAGTAAAAAAGGACTCCATCTTCAACAGGGATGTTGAATAATTGGAGAGTAAGAGGAAGCCAGGTAGCATTGGTGTTGTATTGGAAGAAATGTATCCTATCTGTGTACCCAGTAAATTTTGGAAATCAGAATCATCTATACATGCTGGAGAAATAGTAAGGCAATCCAACGTCATCATAAACAAGATATTTGATAACATGGAGAGGACAGCACCTATTGAAGATACTATTGATAGTGCCATGTACAATTTCCTGAAAGCAAAATATTCTGCTTTTGATGAACGGATTAAAAGTTTGAAATACCAAATTAAAACAGAACCTCAAAATTTCCCTAATGATGCAGCCTATTCAGGGTTACTCCCAATATTACAAAGAAGAAAAGGAGAAATCCAGGGTGCAGTTGCGCAGGAAAAAAGGGTTCAAATGCTAACATCATTAAAATTCCAGACTCAAACTAACAAAAGGTTTTCAAAAATAGTCTAAACTTAGCAAGCTGAATGGAGTGGGATACAATATAACTAATTTATTATACTCTCAAGGAATAACTTTTGCGTTTCCTCTGGAAGTTGCGGAAAACAATTTAAACCTCTGACTCAAGTCTTTAGCTATGATAATATAAAGCTTGACAGTGACTGATCATCACCTTTGCTTTAATTATTTTATAGTTTTGGATAAAAATTTCTAATGATGGTCTGCAGATTTTTGGGAACTGTTTCAACACTCACATTGGCTGATGCATTGTAGATTTGCATGAGATGTAGAGAGAGTCAAAACTTTGATGATGTCGCCAAAGATCAAACTTCGGCATCTCCTCCCTCATCAGCCCACAGGGATCAAGCAGCACCGCACCGCACACCTACTCAATTGAAGCATCTTTCAATTATACGCAAATCAACAAAATTTACTCGGGATGTATACGAGAATTCCGTATTTTAATTCGTTATAAGACTTATAACTCAAGATCGTGAAGAGCAATTTCCAAACCGTCCACAGCACACAGCAGTACATGCAGCACAAACAGAATTCAGGACAAGGATATACAGTATTTTAATGTTCAACAGAACAATGTTTCCCACGAAACCAACCCGAGTTCACTGCCATTAGAAAGGAAATCCATCACGACGGTGGTGGACGCAAAAACACAGGTTTTTCACCACTTCTTTCACAACCCGACATGAGCATGCGTGCCGGTAATGTAAAGCTACGACAACATATCGCACACGAAGGGATCACACATGCTCATGTCGGGTTTTTGCGTCCACCATCGATTTCCTTTCAAATGGCAGTGAACTCAGTTGAACTCGGGTTGGTTTCCCGGGAAACATTGTTTGGTTGAACATTAAAATACAGTACAGTATATCCTTGTCAGTATATCCATGCTCAAGCCTTGAACAATGTATGCTCGTAAAACTTACTATTTCGTCGTAGCAGATCTTTGCTGGTCATGCAGAACTCAACGGATCGGACGATGAATTTTTCACCGCGGATCACCTCTTGTACAAAATTTGGACTGAAATTTGACAATTGCACCATACCTCTGAGTCCAACAGTTTGTATAGATTTGCATGAGATGTAGAGAGAGTTTCTTTGACTCACAAATTTTCGATTCAAACACATGCACAGGTTTCGATTCAAACAGTGTCACTTAGGTACCTGCATAAAGAAGTTGTAACGGTGGCGGCAAGGCTGACAATAGTGTAGGGCAAAATCCACAGAACAGGGATGTTGAATAATTGGAGAGTAGGAGGAAGCCACTTTCCAGAAGAATGTATAGATGTCGCGAGAAAAGCAGTACAAACTGATTCTTGTAGATGGAGCTAGTAGTCTGGCTATAATACAGTACTGTACTATATTATAAAAACCAAACCACTGAAAGTTATATAAATCAAATGTTCCCCAACCTGTGGATTGCAAGTAATAGTCATGAATTCTATTAAATTGATCTTAAATTTTGGAGAGACAATGGCAGTGGAAAATTGTCTGTAGAAAATTAAAACTTGGCTTTTCTCTTAATAACACTTGATAAAATTTAACCTGCCAAAATAAATAATCTCAATTTTTCTCATTCTCAAAAACCTGTCTTCAGGCCCACCTTTCCAATAATTGAGGACATTCCACCATAGCTGCGTAGTTAATTTTTGCAAAAAGCATTAACTCTCCAAATGCAAAACTTCATGCAGAATCAAAAAATTTTATGCAATTTTGCTGGTCTGAAAATCATTTCATGGAAATTAACTTCTTTGATTCCAAATGTTTGCACAAAAAAAAGAGAAAGTTTCATATAAGTCTTCTGGGTGAAACCATTTTGAGTCCACAAAAATGTCACATGAAACTTTGCTTGTCTGCCAAAAAAAATTTTAAAACAAATTTGCAGGTCCAAAAAGGTTGAGGAACACTGTTCTATACTCCATGCTTTTTTCTCTCAGGCTGTCTGGAAGGACGCCAAGGGAGGCCAAGGAGAACACTATTGGGAATACAACCATGGCCCCAAGAGCAAGAAATCCAGCTCTTCCTCCTCCTCATCTTCTGCTGGACCGAAGCACCACCACAAGCACCCCCACGCCAAAGAGCTTCCAGGTGGAGGCCAGGGACCAATTGCCTAAGCTAAAAAATCAACAGGAGACATATGATGACCCCACATATCTGCAATGCAGACAGACCCCCTTGCAATGGATTGACACCATGGTTGCCGTTTTCTAGTCAGAAACCACCCCAAGAATCGGAAACGAAATTTCTCGCAGATTAATTATTGTTGAATTTCAGCTTCAAACTGGTTGGGATGAGTGAGTGATGAAGAAATATGTGTGCTTGGGATTGAGTTGCCACTGAATGGAAATTGTAGTGCAATTGATGCTTGCTTGGGAAGCACTCGGGTCTTGCAATACTGAGTGAATGTCCGAATAAAAAAACATCAAAACTTGAATCATGTCATTCAATTCTGTTTATAAGGTAGATTTACTCGTAGTTTATGGTAGCTATATGATCTTCAGGAAGCACTCGGGTCTTGCAATACTGAGTGAATGTCAGAATAAAAAAACATCAAAATTTGAATCATGTCATTCAATTCTTTTTATACGGTAGATTTACTCGTAATTTATGGTAGCTATATGATCTTCTATATACAGTAAAAGCAGATATTGCACATTGTACTTTGATTTATCTCGACTGTTTGTTTTGTCTAGCAGTTATTTCATTAAAATGTACACAAACACAGTGATGACATTAAAAGCAGAAAAACATTCCATTTTTAATACACTTTTGTACAATACGTTTAAGGAAGGAAGCTGAGCATCAAATCCATTATGTAAATACAGTACTGTATTGTATCCATCCTGGTGTCATGCACATGTTTTTTTTAAATCTAAATTGGGAGAAAGCAAACAATAGGGCGCAATTGAGCACCATCAGGTCTAACATTTTCAGAAGTTCAAGATGTTCATAGGCAAGTCTCTTTGTTAAAAATTTGAATCTTCAGCAAATTTTGCAGAGATAGTAGTATACTAGGTTGCGGGTCTTTGCACACATTCAAGATGCACATGGAAGATTCCTTTTTTGTATCTCACATGTTTTGCACAAATTTGGCAAGCAATAAATCGCATCCTACACATGTAGGAAAAAAATTGTAAAACATTGAGGTGGAATCAGAAAAAGAATCAACATATCCATTCACAACAAAAGCAATTTCCAATACTGTATTATTAATTACCATATTTACAAAAGGTTTCACATGCCCTTGAGTATGATGCACACCTCTGTTTGTTGGGAAGAAATTTGCTCAAAAAAGGCTTCCACAAAAGACCTCAACTAATCCATCAACTCTACCAGAACATAAAACTAATTCCTTAACTCAAGGCTACATTTCTGCAAGTTAGTACAGTGAGACCCGGAGATGCAAACAAAATTGGGGAAGGGACCATGGCCTAACATCAGAAAGTTCACATGTCTGAAACCCGCATCCCAATAGCTATAACCAGCAAAATTTCACTAATTTGAAGATACTGTAGATGCGATTTCAAACAAAAAAAATTCACCAGAAGCAAAGGCGACGGTCTCCACGTAACGCACAATAGCAAGTCACCCAAAAACGTCAAAATTGGGAGGAAATGGCGGTGTGAGCCTCGGTTTTTCCTGCTTGTCTTCCAGAGACTCAATAAAAGCGGTTTCTTCGCCGGAAATAAAATGAGATGTAGACGTCAAAGTAGGAGCCAGATCCTCAGGCATTCCTCCCAATCAGCCCTGCAGTGGTAGACTCAGTTGGTGGCGATCTTCATATTGATTTTTTGTTGAAAATCTCTCCTCTTGACGTGATTATGGTCTGAAAATAAGACGGAAAAGAAATTGAGTCCATTGCAAGAGAAATGAAATAGTGTAGGCAAAATCTCCAATATTTTCTTGAGGAGAATTTTTCCAATCAAGTACAGCCCAATATCTGTATCAACTATTTATTATACATTGTGATGGGAATTGCAAAAGGGATTCCGAATAGGTTAACCAGTCCATGTAGATTCACATTGATGAGTAAGTGGACCTTTTCAGGGGAACTGGAATTAATTACTGTATTGTAGTCATTTCGTGTGACAACATTTCTCAGTTTAAAAATAATGGATCACTGCACCTTTCGGATAATTGAAGGTAATCACAGGAGGAAGCATTGCCCAATCTCCAAATCGTCCCTTTTGTCTACAGTCCTGAAAAGGGGCCTGGTTTTCGAAGATCAGGAAATCCACGCCTCCATTTTTTCAATAAAAAACAAGTGAAAACGGACTCCATCTTCAGTCATCTGGTTTGTTCATAAAGCCACACTCCATTCCTGCTGGAAGTCTGGCTCCGCCGTAAACTGATCTGAAATACCGAAGACAAAATTCAGAGCAATTACAATGCTATGCAGAATCAAGGGTGTTCACCCAAAATGTTGATGTAGAGTACAAATAAATGAATAAGCATATAGACCAATTTTTCAGGTAAGTCAGGCAAAAACAGCTCATCACATATGTTTTTAAACCATCATAATTTTCTTAAGAAAATTATATCAGGTTCTGATCTATGCTGTTCCAGGAGGTTTAAGTTATCGAGGTCAAATTGTACTGCATGTACAGGACATGCTCATTATACAGTGGGACCCCAAGATGTGGACATAATTGGTGCTTGGACCTCATCCTCATGTCAAAATGTTCACATGCAGCATCACTTTCCCATAGACTTCAATGCAAACATATTCAATTGGTTCTCTTGTTCATCAACAATTAGGAATAAGTCCCCCAAAAAATTAAATAAAAATTGCTTCCCTCAACTTTCAGAAAAACACAGAAACTTTGAAAATACAGAATATAACTATGCAGAAGAAAACCACATAGAACATAGTGTTTGGCATCAAAAGGAGCTAAAGAAGCAAGGAACAATAGGAAGTCTTGCGCACACAGATGATGGAAATAACGCTGAAAAATGAAGCAGAGAATCAGCCTGTTCATGATTATTAATTCATGTTCAGAAGAAAATATATTTAAAAATGTATTTTTGATGTTTGTGAATATATTGTGAATATAAACATCTCCGTTCAATCAATAGATATCAACATTTTGTAGAATTTAATTTTTACACTTCTGGATATGAACTGGTAAATGTTCCAATCTTGAGACATTCTCTAGATGTCAGGGCAGGTTTTTATTTTTAAGTTTCAAATGTCGCGAAGTCGAGTCATCCATATGTCGGGGTCTTACTGTATATCTTGTACACTGTAGACATTCACAAGTCGGGTAAATTTTTAAAAAAAATCAATATTCCAACCTTGGCCGGTGCTTCAGTGGACTGGCAATGGAAAACAATGTACACCACACAGGAAGCTCCTTCGTGTCTTTTGCCAAAACGCCCTTGACCATGAAACTCGCCATGCTGCACAGACTCACAACTAACTAAAAATATTCACTTTCCACGACACAGCCTCTGCTTGAAAATAAAAAGAATGACACCACTGCATCATCGTCACTCTTGTAGTCTCACGGATTCTCACAAAACTTTCATCCGAATCGTATTTCAGCTCTCCTCAACATCCTCACGCCATCACACATCAACAAACAAAGCGGATCTCCAACAAGACACACATCATGAGAGTTTTCATCCTTTTCACGCTCCCCAGCATCACGGCGCCATGATAGATACAAGAGCCATCCACTGGTTTCAGAACCAACACATGGATCAACAACACCATGGAAGAAAGATACCATCCAAACCACGCTGCATCATTTAGTAGAAGGAATCAGTTCGGAATACAGAAGCACATTTTAAATTTGGGATAAACTTGGTGCTGTTCCAGTGCGTGCCAGCAACCAAGGTACGAATGAGTACTGTACCTTGGTACTTACTTCAATTTCAAGGAGGTCTAGAACAAAGCCGACTTCATGATGATATATCGAATGAAACTCTCATTATCCAAGCAAAGAATTAAATGCCTCAAGCTGGAAAGCTGGATGAACAATCCTCACCGACGACACAACCTTAGACATCAATCAACAATTTTTAATAAACATGATCTCACATAAAATTCCTCGAACTTTCTCAGATTTCGAGTAACATTTGTCGAGAACATGATATCATCACACAGATATAAAGATGCTCACGATGGAATTATTAAATGTACAAGCTGCTTTCTCTGCTCTCAATGATCAAAATTCGCGCAAAATCGATCCTTGTCTTGATAAGTAGAGTTCTAATCCACCCCACAGTCGTAGAACGACGATGACTCAAGTCAAATACAGGATTATCGATGCAATGTAATTCCAATACCCAGACGAAAAGCAGGGGAGTCAATTCCATGTAGTCATCAAAGCATTAGCAACATAAATTAATAATATGCTTACGATTCTTTTGTTTTTATTTCACGATATTTTCATATCGAGAGTTCGAGTATCCCGAGGTAGATGAATTCGGAAAATTAAATTTCACGAAGTCAGATTTGTCCTAGATGTCCATCACCGTATTTTAACGAAGTTACAGACACTAGCCACTTACTACAACAGCACCAATAAATCCAGCAAGAATGAGATAAGATACTGGGAATGCGGGAATCTGACACAGAAGTACATATTCAAGAAAAATATCAACTCAAATTTGCCTCTTAATTTATAATAATCTTTAGAGGCGAATGAAAAATTTTCTTGGCACGTAGGAAAATTGGACTTTACACCAGGACCGAGCGTAGCTTCAATGTAAAAAAAAAAATCGGAGAAAATATATAAATTTCGAAGTGACACATTCCTTCAGATCTATGACGTACAAAAAGACCAGGACGAACGTCCACGAAGAAACTGATGAAAGAAACAAAAGATGGCCCAAGAGAACACTTGGGAGCGTAAAATCAGAGAATACTATGAAGCGCCAACATCGCGGATAGAGGAAAACTCAACCAAAGAACTCTCCCATCTCTTTCAGGCATAATAATCCGTCACGCCTTCAGAAGAAGTAGCTCAAAAACACGTCAAATCCAGCACACGACCATGTGGAGAACATTCATCATAGTCCCAAGCACGCAAACAGCAAACAGGACTTCACTCACAGCAACATGCCATCCCTAATGAGAAAATCTACATTACACACACAGTCGTTCTTCCTTTGAAAAAAATTTGATACGCCATTTTTTTTTTCTGAAGCCACTGCAGGCGTTGGGAATGAGAATTTCAATCTCTTACCAAACATTACTTGCTCTATAATGTTGCTGATGAAGTGACGATGTCATTGAGGAGAGTCTCCACCATCTTCGAAATTACTTGCGGGATAATTCTTACTTCCCCCACGCCAATGACCTTGAGAACTGCTTCCCTGTCGACTTCCTCCTCCATACCCCGGATTCTCCCGTTGTCCGTATAGAACTAGACCGAGAACAAAAAACGAGATGCCAATCTTACACTTGAAACACAGTTGGATTAAAATTTCCGCCACTTCCTCATTCGTTAAATAATTTTATCGTTACTGGAGTAGGAGTCGATCCTCTAACGGTTTCAGCTACAGTCATCGCTCACTGGAGACGAAAAGAGAAAAATATAACCCAATGTAAATGCTTTGGGAAATACGCTTGACTTCACAAAACACATCTGTCGGGGTCCAAAACCCCGACGAATGCTCAAAAATATCTAATCCGAATATCAACCTTCTATCTATAAATGCTGAGAACTTGACGTCCTTCCTTTCAGGTGAACTGAATATCTGAACCAGCGATCAAGAAGTTGCTCACGTACGAAGGAGCAAGGAGAGACTCAATCCAATCAAACGCGGTATCAACGAAACAGGACTTCAAACACAGGTTCACTCGTTTTAGAAGCAAATTGTACGTACCTTTGCTTCTGGCTTCTTGGTAAAGTGCATTGGCAATCGCACTGAACATGTCATTAGGCAAATTGGCAATTGGATTCGAGTTCTCTCCTCCATAGTTGCCATAGTTCGACGAAGGCTGACTTTGCACAGGCGGTTTGTAAACAGGAGGAGGAGGACCCCGAGTGCCAAAATTTATTGGCCGAGAATCTTCTTCCATCCGCGGATTTCCAGACTGGGTCTGACTCCCAGCTTTCCACGGCTGATAAGGAGACGGTGACATGTTTGGCTTTTTATGTAGCTGATCTGCTGTCGACGTGTGCACAACGACTCCTTTTATGACATGTTCTTCGTCTATTAAGGACTTTGCTACACGAGCCTCTTGAAAGGTTATGAACGCACAAGCTTTAAAAGGACGAGGGATATAAACTTCAGTGATGACGCCAAACTGAGAGAAGTATTCGCGCAACACATCTGCAGTCAATGCCTCGGTGCAACGACCCACGTAGATTCGAAACTGTATCTTTGGGGCTTCGAGGCCTTCGCGTTCCAGGCGACTGTTCGGGATTTTCACGTCGCACCACTTCTTGCAAATCAAATGTCGCTGGGAGAGTACCTTTTGCTGAGCAGTGTATTCGTTGAACTTGATGAATGCGAAGCCCTTGGATTTATCTTCCTGCACGTCTCGTTTAATGAAGCATAGCGCCAACGTGCCGAACTGAGAGAAATAAGCGCTGAGTTCTTCCTCCGTAGCGGAGAAGGCTAGTCCGAGGACGATCAGGTCACAGCACTTGGTGTCCACGCGTTTTCCAGCAATTTCTTCATCAAGGGCTGCTCCTTTCCGCTTCATGTCTACTGCAAGGAACAAAAGATTCACTTGAAAAAAGATCCTTCATGTAACATTTCCCTCGGAAATACACTGTCTGTACATCAGACAGCATAACGAACTTCGTGAATATCGATCAATGAACGAACACGAACCCTTTGCATAAACGCAGAAGAATGTTGCAGAGTCCCAGCCTTCATCTGGGGGACTGAAACATTCGTTAGCCAGCCGAAGACCACGAAGAGATCCTGTTTCGTGCCGATACTTGAGTCCGATAGCATTAGCGAATGTAGCGCAAACGGTGGTGAGTAGAAGAGTGTCGTCATCTTCTAGAGGTAATTCCGTGATTTCGGAAGAGTCTTTAGATTCTTCCTCACTTGGCGCAACTCGAACGTAACGGGTCATCTTTTAACCTAAACGATTACGACAGGTTAGATACGTAACAGATTCGAAATCGGTGTCAACGAAAGTTGATCATTCAACCACATAACGCGGCCAGTGTCACTTCATAAGGAGCTTTCAATTCTCAAAGTTCAACTCCACAAATCCGAGATGCCCGTTACACAAAATAACCAGATAATCACACTTCACAGCGTCAACAATAAGAACAGAACCGATTGCGTGATTTGCGTCAAAAGTCGGTAACAGGATCCTTTACTACGCAGAGATTGTTATGAATTGCAGATCACGCGTCACGGAGATTGTACACTCTAATACAGTAGAAATTATATCTGTGTAATAAGGAATTGTCAGTCAAGGAAGGACCTCAACGCACGTTTCTATAAGCACGTCATATATTCACAGCACCAATAATAGTAACGGATGATGTCAAGAGTTAAAGAGATGATCACTTGTCAAAAGCTCAGATCGAAGTGCCGTCATACTGTCTCGCAAGTCACCCCCTCGCGGTTCGTCCCCAGATCTCATCAGGTGATAACACCGACTCGGGTGGGTCATGTATCGGACGGTGGTTCCCGCCGCTAGATGTCGCGCGCTGGTGTAAGGGGAGGCCCTTACTGTGTGCCTTATCTCTTGCTTATTGTACTGTACCCGGGTACGAATGAAGAGCCTTTGACATCTCTGGATGTTCTGAAATCTCACACTCATCGACACGTATTTAATCTAAGAAAAAATCTAGGAAAAAACTTGTGATCAATGATGCCCAACTGTTTTTCGAAGCCGGGGTCCGGAGCCCGTGGTAGACCTCGGTAAGGTACCATCTCCCATGCGTTGACTCTGCGTACCGTGCCGGCAGCTCCCACATGGTAGACCCCTTGGCCCTGATAGGACAGTACCATGAACGGCCCAATGCGCTGGGTGCGGAAACAACGTGCGGCTGCATGTTGTTCGACTGTCGGTAACCTAGGAAAAACAGCAATCAGTTCACCGGGAAAAAAATGTCGCTGCTTGTTTTTATTGGCTTGGGAAATGAATTGGTTGCGGTGGTCCTTGGATTTTTGTTGAAGCCCCTCTTGTGAAATTTCGGCTTCAAGTGCTGGAGCACCAAACGTTTTGTCCGCCTCCAAAATTGTCCGACGTCCGAACATTGCCTCCGTGGGTGTTACGCCAGTCGCGGAATGTATAGTGCTATTGTACGCCTTGACAGATGTAGCGAGGTGTACCGCCCACTGATCGTCGCGTCCCCTGACCGCCTTGGCCTGGATTTGAGAGAGGGTCCTGATGGACCTTTCGCAGCAGCCGTTGCCCTCGGGATGAGTCGCCTGGGCGACGTGCTGTTCTATGTCATACCCTTTGAGGAAATGTCGAAAAGCTTTTCCCGTAAAAACAGAGTCACAGTCGGAATGTACTATTTCAAAAAGGCCAAATTGTTTAAAAACCTCTGCTAGGAAGGGTATCACCGTTTGAGAATCAGCCCGTTGTATGGGCTGGGCGATCATGTACTTACTGAAGTGATCGACGGCGATGACGGCATATCGGAAGTCCTCCTCTGTTTTGGGAAGAGGGCCGTAAAAATCCAAGACGAGCCTTTCCCGCGGTCGATTTGACTCGACTGCGCTCATGTGAAGTCCGACGGTCTGCGTTGGCTGATTATAGCGGAAACACAGGTCACACGATAAAATCCTTCTCCAAATTTCTTGTCGCATCCGTGGCCAGACGAATCGGTCCTTTAGGACTGCATAGACCTTTTTCCAACCCGCATGCCCGAGTTCTGCATGATAGGCGTCGATCAAGGCTACGCGTTCGGCTTCGGGGGGCTGGACTCGGACTGCGGCGTTATTGAGAGAAATACGGCTTAAAGCGTCGGGTCCTTGCAAGGAGGCCCCTGCTCTGTGAATAAGCTCGAAATCAAAGGTAACTAACTTAGCTTTAAGACTGATTAGGCGTTCTGATTGGGCCTTACCGAGGAGCGCTTTATGATCCGTAAACACGCAAAAATTTCGATGCACCAAGTGGTGTCTGAATTTTTTTGTGACACTCCATACCACTGCAAGTAACTCACGTTCGGTGTTGGAGTATCTGGTTTCGGCGTCTTTCAGCGTGCGGCTTGCGTACTCGATGACCCGGTCGTTGCCGTCGGGATCGGTCTGGACTAAGACGGCCCCGAGTGAGACTGCGGACGCATCGCAATGGACCGATATTGGCCAAGAGGGCTCCACACGCTCGAGTCGGGCAGTGTCGGCGAGTACCTCCTTTATGTGTTCAAAGGCCCTGTCAGCTTCAGGAGTCCAGTTGATCCGAGTTGCGGGTTTGACGGGAATTGTTCGGCGGAGGGCTTTCTCCGATTCGGCGAAGTTCGTCGGGAGGTGGGCTCGCAAGTACGTTGCAAGCCCTAGAAACTGCTGCATCTGCCTACGAGTCTCGGGACGAGGATACTTTCTGACTGCGTCAACATTCCTTTCGGCAGGGCGACTGCCGGTTTGGTCCACCTCGTACCCGAGGAACAGGGTCTTGTGAGCCAAAAACGTCGACTTCTGGATGTCGACGCATGCACCTGCTTCCTGTAACGTCTGTAGAACTATTTCGAGATTCTCGCACAGAGTATTAAACGAATCGCCAAACACTATAACGTCATCAACATAAGCTAAACAACGCTTGAAAAGAAAAGGACGAAGTATAGTATTGACTGTTCGCTGAAAAAGCGCTGGCCCCGTTTTAAGACCGAAAGGGAGTACTTTATACTGTACTTGACCTCGCGGTGACATGAATGCTGTCTTTTGGCGATCCTCTTGCGCGATTGGTAGGTGATGGTAGCCGGCGTGGAGATCGAGCGTACAGAAGTAGCGATTGTTCCGACCTAACGCTTCCAGGAGTTCTTGAACCGTCGGCATGGGGTAGTTGTCGGGAGGTATCAACTTGTTAAGTTCTGAGTAGTCTTCGACGAGTCTGTAGCGCTTTTCCGCCGGAGCCGTAGGATCCGAACACTTCTTGTCGACCAGAAACGCTGGAGCGTTGTATGGCGATGCTGCGGGTTCTAGAATACCTGCTTGAAGATAAGAGTCAATAATTTCGGCGAAAGGTTTATTACGTTCCACCGAATGCCGAAATTGCCGTGCCGCGGGTGGCGTAGCTTCGATGGTCGGGATTCGAACAACAAAATCCGCGAAAAGACCGCGTCGACCCGACCACTGCCGCATCAGCGGTGCATGACGTTTAAGGATCTGCGTGATTGCTTCGCGCTCGTGCGGAGATCCGTCAACGAAAGAAATGCCCGACCCAACAGCCAAGGTGGGTTTGGAAGGCGGGCGCATCACCTCGTGAAATCCGGTAAAAATGCGTTTCCCGTCCAGATTAATTGTGAGAGGTAATTGTAACAGCACGGTCCGACCCAGAATGATGGGGAATTCTCTCATTCCCGGCAAAACCAAAAAGGAACCCTGTAAACTGGTATTCTGAAAATCGAAACAAGTCTCGACGACGCGGGTGACATGAACAGCCTCGGGGCTTAACGCGGTGCCGACCGTCGTTTGCAGTGCCGCGGTTGGTAAATCAAGCTGACGTACCACGGAATCCGATATAAAAGAATGAGACGCGCCGGTATCAAGTAACGCGGAAAGAATGCGACCCGTTATTGAGATCTGGAGTACGATAGGCGGGGGGGCGGCTTGAAGGTTCGTAACGAAACAGTACGCCGCGTTTACTGTTACGCTTTCCCGTTTCCCTGAACCTGGGGGCACTCGCGCGCATAGTGACCCGGTTTTTGACAATGGAAGCACAGATCCGGTGTCCGATTTGCCACAGTTGCCGAGGAGCCCGAAGTGGATTGGCGGGAACCCTGGTCCGCTGATTGTGAGTTGGACTGGTTTTGCCGAGATCCCAATCTGCATTCCTGGGTGCCGTGCCGCATATTCCTTTTGTGGTGCTCGCACCATTGTTTCGGTGGTAGATCGATACGAGGGCGAGAACCGGACTTGCCGGCGGTGGTTCCACCGGTGGCAGGGCGATGGTTAAGGCGATAAGCCTCGGCTACGTCGATCAGATCGTCCCACGTCATTTGACGATTCTTGCCCCATTTCCGCTGTAGCTCGTCCTTGAGTCCTGCTTCGGCGATATTGAGCAGCTGCTCCTTGAGAACATGGGCGATGACTGGTTCGCACATGTCTAAATCATCGACGGACAGCTGAATGTAGTTTTCGTATTCCTCACGCAAACGTTCGCCGAAGTTGAAGAAGCTCTCCGCCGTATCCGGTCGAAGGTTTCGAAAACGCTTCAGGCGGTCCAGATGTGGGGTAGGATGTCTTCGCGAAATGGCGCTCACCAATTGTTCGAAGTCCTGAATTCCCCTTTTGTACATCCGGTTAGCGGTCATCTGGATGTGTGGGAGAGTGTTGGTCAGCAGGCAGGAGATCCGATGCTCGTCCGTAACTTTGCCGACCGCCAGAACATTCCGTAACCGGGTGGCGAAGTCTTCGAAGTCTTCCTCTGCCCGTTGCTTTGGTAGATTCGGAGCTTGGAGGTCGATGAGCCACTGCGGGCGTTGAAGAACCGTCCGAGCCATGCATGCGTCGTTGTCACCATCGTCGTCTTGACGAGTGCGGCGTGTCCCCCCGTCGTGATGGCGTGGAAGTTCGTAAATAGCTGTCAGTGGAATTTGAAAGCGATCCAACTGAGCAGCGTATTGTGCCTTCTCTGCCTTGACCGGGTGGCCGAGGTGAAACGTGTCCGCCAGAAGTTTCAGAGTGTCCAGTGGTAAGGTTTCCCAGACACTTGCCGTCGAGGCGCCCGAGGCATTCGAGTTGCGCCGGCCTGCGGGAGGTGGGGGAATGGTATCTTGGAACACCTCCTCGTCGTCCTCTCCCTCCTCCTCGTGAATAGTAGCCAGGTCCACGAGAGCAGCAGCCGCCGCTGCCTTCGAATTTTCGGTATTGCGAGGCATATTTTCTGATGCTGGCGTGCAACGTGACGTTGATCACTGTATTGTGGCTACGAGCCCCCAATAAGGATTTGTCAGTCAAGGAAGGACCTCAACGCACGTTTCTATAAGCACGTCATATATTCACAGCACCAACGATAGTAACGGATAATGTCAAGAGTTAAAGAGATGATCACTTGTCAAGAGCTCAGGTCGAAGTGCCGTCATACTGTCTCGCAAGTCCCCCCCTCGCGGTTCGTCCCCAGATCTCTTCAGGTGATAACACCGACTCGGGTGGTTCATGTATCGGACGGTGGTTCCCGCCGCTAGATGTCGCGCGCTGGTGTAAGGGGAGGCCCTTACTTCATGGAATCCTCATTCCTCACACAGTGGAGTAACTGACAGATATGCTCGAACTCTGTACAGTACATTAAAATGTGTCACGTAGGTGTCGCTATAGAACAAACGTGCAGGGCGAGGGTGGTGGATCGACTTCACAGCGTCAACAATAAGAACAGAACCGATTGCGTGATTTGCGTCAAAAGTCGGTAACAGGATCCTTTACTACGCAGAGATTGTTATGAATTGCAGATCACGCGTCACGGAGATTGTACACTCTGGTACAGTAGAAATTATATCTGTGTGCCTTATCTCTTGCTTATTGTACTGTACCCGGGTACGAATGAAGAGCCTTTGACATCTCTGGATGTTCTGAAATCTCACACTCATCGACACGTATTTAATCTAAGAAAAAATCTAGGAAAAAGACATATGGCTGAAATCTTCCGTGAATTAGGAATCATATGATAGAGTCGAAATTATCATGTTGTCCGTAGTTAATGCTCCATAGGTAATTAGAAAAAGAAAACCGCTTGAATGGGTGGGAACTCCACAAATACGCAGGATGTTTCAAATGGACCGCTGCGGTTGTGTATTGAGATCATGCAATTCTTTGTCTGGTAACATGACTTAAAACCCAAAAAAGGTACAGTACTGCTCCGGTGTACTGCGAGAAACGGGTCCACCGAAGTTAAATGGGTGCTTAGGTATAGTAAAAGAAGATTTGTAGGATAGAGGGCAGCAGCGTGAAAGATGGCCACGCGCGGGTGGAACATTAGTGAGGTTTCTGCCTGGATTGCTGAAGTTACATTTGATCTTCAATCAATTCACTGAATAGTAGTGCTTGAGTATAACTAGAAATTTTCGAGGATGTCAAAATATCAATGTTGTGCATCGCGTTATTTTCGGCATCCGGGTCGTGCGCCACTTGAATTTAAGTTGATTGTCTACTGTGAAGTGGATTCATCTCTCTCTAAGCGATGGTCGACGCTGTCATTCGGAGATGGAAGGCAATTTTCCGGTGATCGCTAATTAATTTTCCATACTTGATGGTGAACTTGACCGACTGTGTATCTGGTATTTTTTTTTTTCGAAACAGGCACGCACTTGGTGTTTCCGTCATGCACCATTACACCACCTTTTCCACGTCTCTGACTCAATTTCTCTTGTCGAGATACTTTGCCTTCTGCGCGCTGTTTGTGTTCCTCTTTCTAGTCATTGCTACTTATAACCGAGACTACGTTGACTCAATGCCACCGGATCGCGATCTATCCAAGGAAATAGAGGAGTACGCCGAAGTGTGTGGATCTCTTACCTCTGATCTCGAGGGCACCGGCCCCGAACGTTTCTGGATATATTTCGTAACACCGACGTACGTACGTCCGCAACAAATACCTGAACTGATCCGGCTGAGCCATACTCTGAAACTTGCCAAGAATGTTCATTGGATCGTCGCTGAAGATTCTACGTCATGTTCTCCTCAGACTGCGGAAGTCTTACGAAGGTACTCTAACTGATTTTGTGAACGATCCCGCGAATATATTCATGAAGTGACTATGATGTGATATGACGGAACTGTCATCAATTACATAATGCGTTCATTTATTGTTAGAATACATGTGAATTGAAAATCCTGATAATGTTTGTTGTGCATCATACAGTTAATATTAGTAGTCGTAATGAGTAATAACTTGAAGGAATCCGCTGTTTTCATTAGTTTCGGTTCATGTACAAGTATTCGAGATTTCAGATGAGTGAAGTGGATCGTTTTTTAAAGCTTGATTTCCGGTTTTCTAGGTCTGGTATGCCGTACACCCATTTGATCAGTCCCATGCCAGCGTACTTCGAGCGATTTTTGCGGAAACCGAAAGGGGTTTCAGGAAGACGGGCTGCGTTGCAGTGGCTCAGACACCACTTGAAAGATCTAGATTCCCAACGCGCGGGCATTTTATATTTCGGCGACGACGACAACACCTTTGACTTGAAGCTTTTCTCCGAACTGAGGAAAACCATGTCAGTGTCGATGTTTCCCGTGGGGCTAGTCGGTGATTACGGCATTTCCTCGCCGGTAGTGAAAGATGGTCGTGTTGTGGATTTCCTGGACTCTTGGGCCGATTCGCGTAAATTCCTAGTAGACATGGCGGGATTTGCAGTCGCCACGGATTTCCTTATGTCGCGGCCATCTGCTATTATGCCTTATCTTCCCGGACACGAAGAAGATCGCTTTTTACAATCTTTGGACATTGAACTTGAAGATATCTTGCCTTTGGCTGACAATTGCACGCAAGTGTATGTGTGGCATACAAAAACGCTGGAACGAGACCGTGGTGTTATCCAGCATCCCAAGGGTTGGCGGACCTTGGATACCAACTTGGGGAGTCTCTACGAAGTGGCTCGTTATTTAGGACTCTCAGATGTTAATGCGTCGAGATAATGTGCACAAAATATGTAAGCTGTAGCTTTTTTTCATGTGGATCCGTGATGCCGTTTGCCACCTGGAGTTCATGTCTTCTGATGCCCCACCGACGTGTAACTGGTCGAGGACGCCGCTCACGAGTTGGCTTTCGCCTTTTTTTTCATGTGTTTACAAATTTTTTTGTCCGTAAATGGCTTTTTGATCTGAGCGAGGTGGAAGGATCACCGCAAAATTCCAAATCTCCGGGTATTTTCCGCAGTTTCTCTGCTAATCAGTGACGAATCATGTGAATTTTCCTCTATATCTCCAAATATCCTGATGACAATGAGGAAAAACGGAGATGGAGGGAAATATTTTAATCTGGGATGATGCTTTTTAGCTTTTTGTAATGGTCCTTTCCGTAGAAGTGAAAATTTAAAGAAACAAAACTCATTCAACGATAATACAAAAATTCCTATTTTAGGAATCCGTTAATTTATTTTTACTTCTTCTTTTCACGTTAGCCTCGCCCGAAATGTTTTTTACTTGAATTAGAATAGGTACGGTTATTAATATTATAAGTGAACCTTGATAACATGAACTCCCCGTAATCAAATAACTCCCTTTGTCGAATTTCAAGTCATTGTCTGATTTCCCTTAGAAATAATGCTTCAGAGACCTCCCTTACTTGAAAGCTTTCACTTTCAAGCCTCAATAACTTGTGTTACTGGAGGCTGTTTGGATATTATGTTATTCACTGCAAGAAACAGAGCAGCAATAAATGTTTCTAGAAATATTTTGAAAGGAAGGGAAAGACTAATTAGGCAAATTAACTCTTCCCACTTCAGCATCATGTCAACACACTCAGAAAGCAATTTAAGGCCTAGAATATCACTTGTTACATTACCTGTAATTTTTTGCTCCCAACACAATTTCTTGTTTCCCTTTCTCAAATGTGTTGCTGTTCCCTTGAAGTTTGACTTCATTCAGTTCTCCTCTACTGTACTTAAGGGTTCAGGCGACATCTGTCAGCCTTTCAAAACGCCGTGTCTAGCCTTGGACAAACAATTAACTGATGAGTTTTGTGTTTCTGCAAAGTTAATCCATGAAATGGTTCTGATGGTGTCCACTGCTTTTAAAGATGATGCATCTTGATAATTCGTTTCAAAATTTTTCTTATATTTGATGAATGGTGGGTTCACGTCTGCTACTTGGACTCGTTCAGAGTCATTTCTGTGAACAGTCCAAACGACCGAAAGAAACCTGTGATGCTTTTTTTTTTTTTTTTTAGCAAAGTACGTTAATCATACTGCTTAGCCTTCCGAAAATAGTGTGTTTGTGTGTGAATGTGCGGGTTTTTTTTTTCAGAGAAGAATCAAAGTGGGTTAAATGAGCTTGTCTGTACTGGCCATATAGTCAGAATGCGATCTCAGCTCTGCAAACCGATTCTTTGGAGTCGGATTTTTTTTTTGTGCTCACGGAAAGGCAACAAAAAGATGAAACCCTTGCTTGCCACGACGATTGCTTATGCTTCCCTGGTGATGCACGATGCATTTCCGGATGAATATTCTAGTCTCCCTTATGCCTGAAAGCTTCCGGAGCTCATATCAACCCTTTGTTTCCTGTCTTTTTTTTATGTCGTCGTAATTGCTGGTGCATTGAAAGTGTAACGCAGGGAATTTTGATTTTAGCTTCCATGATCAAATGCCTTTTTTTTTGTACTGCGATGAACGAGAGAGAGATAAAGAGAAATGGAGTTTTTAGTCGGGACGAATTCTTGAAGCCCTTGTGGAGTAGTGGTGGCGGTGTTTTACTTGTTGAATTCTGCTGACTCTTCACTTTCTGACGTGGATTCGAATTTTGCAGGAGTTTCTGTGATTGTTATTTCCCCATTGTCGGTTGATGTGTTCGCGCGATGGGAGACAGAAGCGTGGTGAGAGATCTTTTCATACGTGTAAAAAGAAATAATCAGCGTAGATTTGGATTCTTTGATGTTCTCTGTATGTATTGTTCGTGCTTTGTATTTAATTTCTTGGTGATTTCCGACTGCTTTTTTGTTCTCGGATGTTTCTGTACTACTCACAATGACTGCAAAGCTAACCTCATATTCCCGCATGACTGAAACTAACTTTATTGTACATCAAACAATACGCCTAATTAACTGAACCATACATCAGTACTGTACTACCTTTGTACAAAAAGGTAATTAAAAACAAAAAATGTAGCCATGAATCCATGATGCATGTATCATATACAGTAGAATCTTGTTACAACAAATATTGTTATAGTAAGAATTGCTTGCAGCAAAGTTACGTTTACTTTAGTTCTCTGCTTAATAGCTACAGTTTTGAATGGGTTCCTTTAAGACAAATTTTTTGTACAGTTAAGTTATTTTACTGCTATCAATGGCTATGTTGTAAAATATTTTGCTGTATAGTACTGTATGTGTGCTGAAGTCATAACTAAAACCAGTAAAGATTTTTTTACAAAGCTGAGATGTTCTTAACATGTGCATGGATGATGACCCTATACAGTTGGACTCTCGGAAATAAGTTTTTCTTCAACAAATTTTTCTGCATAACAACTTCTTAATTGGTTCCATATACAGTACTGTAGTTCTTTTCCCAGTTTCTACTGGTTCTCTATAACAACATTCTCCTTTCAATGAATTTTTTCTGGTCCCTTAAGTTTTTCTTGTAGAGAGAGTGCAAGCTGACCATAATTTTGGGTTGATGTTCAGTATTTGAATGTAGTAGCATTTCAAAGCAGCTGTGAGACAAAAGATATCCCATGTGTCAGGTTATTGTTGTAATTAGTTCAGAATCCTGAAGACATTCATGAGATATTTTTTATTTGACTGCTTGTTTTGAAATGTGGATGGAAAAGGTTTTCTTTGACCCAGCTCTTCCACTTCTTACTTACGTAACCTGCCGTATCTTATCCTTGATATGTGCCTTATGTAACTTGACCCCACCCAGAGTGATCTCACTGCATAAACCAAACATAACTTGGTTACACCTTTACAAACATTGCCCATGAAATCAAAACATTCATTGCAAGATATGTTTTAAAATTTAATCTGTTTGAGAATTTAATTTGATTTGCCAGTAAAATCTTAACATCCATGGAGATCAGAGAGGATGAGTATGGGCAATGTGTTCATCATAACCTGAAAATATATACATGAACCAGTATACTGTACTTTTACTGTATATATTTTTTTCACAGTTTGACATGATGAGGTCAATCTCGGCATTGGTTCTGCTTGACTTGGATGGGTCTCGATTGATAGCGCATTATTACGACAAAGCCACGTTTCCGGACCTCAAATCGCAGAAGGTTTTTGAGCGCAAAGTCATGAGACAGAAAACTTTGCTCAAGTCTGAAATATCCTTCATTGACGATTTGATTTGCCTTAATCTCAACCATTCGGATATCCGGTTTTTCGTCGCCGGACCCCTGGGAGGCAACGAGGTTAGAATATTTCCGAATATATTCAGAGGTTATCAATTTTCTTTTTTTTTGCGTATGATTTCGTAGTTGGTTATGAAAGAATTCCTGGCATGTGTGGTTGAACTGTTGAGGGTGATGTTCAAAGAGACCCTGAGTTGTCAATCGCTCATGGAAAACATGCATGCCGTGTTCATCTTGCTGGACGAAATCTGTGAAGCGGGGTGATTTAATTTTTGCAATTATACAATTTTTTTCCGATTTTTCTAGTGCGTGACTGACGCTGAAATTTTTGGTCTAGCTGACTATACAATTTTTCGAGACAATCATAAATTTGCACGCATTCAAAAGCGTTTTTAGAACTTTGATTCTGTTGTTGCACAAGCTTTACCCACCGTAAATTTATTTTTCTCCCTTTTGGCCGTTTCTTGGCGCTAGATTTCCTTCTGTTGTGAATAAAAATTTAATATACTGAAATTTGAATTTGGGGGAGGGGCTAGCTTTTTGATTACGTAATGGAGAAGTATCCATTACTGAGAAAAATTTTCAGTATGCATTTGTTTTTTCTTCCGATTTTCGATTCAGTGTTATACTTGAAACTAATCCACTTACTATAGTGGATCGACTACGTGCCAGATCCGTTAGGAGCATTGAAGACATGACATTGGGAGAGGTATGAATATCAGTTTTTATTATTCCTTTTAGTTGTTGAAATGCGGTATGAAGGGTTTTATGTTTGTGTTTTAGCTGCTGGAGTTTGCCAAAGAGAAGCTGATGACCATGTGATGAAGCACCGCAGTTCTGTGAAAATTTATTGCAAACATTTTTGTCTTCCGAAAGTTTCTCAATTATTTACTCCCCGCGCACCTCCACTGATTCCAAAATTTTTCATTCACTGTGATTTTTTTGTGTGTCGGGGCATTTGTTTGATTTCAGGCCAGTTTTTTGTTTGATCCAAGGTTGCCCTCGGTGCTGGTCTCGGAAAAAAAGGTCAAGGGCAAAAACATTCACTTCATGGTGATGAGTGAGAAACAAGGAAATTTCGGTTGTGTTGTTGGAGCTGCGATTTCGTGATCTGTGTATTTCCGTTTCTGATCTGTGTTGGTACAAGTGAGCAGGTATCACTAATATTTTTTATGCAGAATTCTGTAAGAAAAATTCTCAATTTATTAGGAAGAAAAGACGTCGAAACGATATTTTCCAGCGAAATACGTTCTATCTAGGGAACGAACTCCTTAAACCTATTTCGTTAAAGGAACAGGTTCAAAAAGATTCCCAGATTCAAGTTAATATCCTGGAATTTTAGGCACTTCGAAAAAAGTTTGCATAATAGCAAAATTGTCGTGGAAATTGCTTTTTAGCACGTTCAATTCCCATCCTTCAAATGAAAAATGATCTGAAGTAAGCTCAATCCCATGCAGTTCGTCCAGGCAAATACCTTCGCTTGAAAATGTGAAAATGTGCTCTAATGAAAAATAATAGTGAAAATTCTGGCGCACAAATTTGATCTGATGCAAATTTTCTGAAATTAAAAAATGAGTTTTTGAAGTAGCTTTTCATGTTTGAAGTGAGGGTCTTGGTAATTTATGAAGAGTAAAACTTCTGCAGATCAAGTGGAAACAATTTCGTATTATTCGCTCTGTTGAAAAAAAAAATATTCGTGCGATTTTTGAGTATTTAATTGAAGTAGCTGGAAGAAAATTCGTCCATAGAACATTTTAACTGTTAATTTAAAATAAAACTTTAAAAAATCGTTGATTTGTCAAATTATTCTTTGAAACCAAATGAGGAAGTTGTTCCCTTGGTAAGAAAAATTTGTTTTGAGGATTATGTTCTGTTCATTTTCCTGTGGGCTTTTTCTTATAGCTCGGTGGGGCATTCTTTGATGCATGCTGGATTTGTACCAACACTCCGGAAACAGACGTCAACTGCGACAACCCTTTCTTTTCGCAATCCCCTCATGTATTGTACGCGAGAACTGACTGGATTATGATCGACAGGGATGTTGTGCGTGCTGGTGCTAGAAACGACGCTGTTCGCCGTCATCTCGGCGATGGGCGACGAGCAGCCGTGTCGACACTACGGGTTTACGTGTGACGCGACGCCGCAGTGTTGTCCGTCGGCGTCGACGTCGGTGGCCGTGTCCGTGGCTCAGCGGCCCATTTGTCTCCGCGGCTTTTGCGAGTGTCCCTTTGGGTACGCCTGGAGTTCATCTCGGGGCTCTTGCATGTCCGTGGACGCCGTGGGCAATGGTTAGCTTTTCACATATTTTTCTCGTTTAATTTAATTTTTGTCCGACGTATGGAAATGTGGCTTCGTACTACGAACCCACGTTTTATCATGGAATGGACTCTTTCAACGAACCCGCGTTTTTTTTAATATACAGTATATTCATGTATTTTTGAGTTGTCTGAATTTATAAATTAAGCTGCTGTGAATCTGCAGAATCGTAATTCGTATTTTACCATTTTCAAGTGCAGCACATCTTATGAAGAAATGTGAAAAATATGAAGTAAGTCGAATTTCAGGGAACCAGCAAAAATATCGAGTTAAGGAAAGCAGCATTTCAAAGGAAGAATGAATGCACGAAATTGTAATTATTGATATTCTGTAATTAGTGATATTAAAATTGATGCAAACAATCATTGTTTTAGAAATGAATCTGACGGATTTGATTGTAAAAAATTGACAGGGGTCGGGATTGGAGGACTGACGTACCTGCTGTGGTTTTGCGGAGTGCTAATCTTCAAGGCCATGTGCGTGTGTATTTGCTTGCGAAACCGAAGGCGCCTAGCGGAACAGGAAGAAGGTGTGGAGGAAGGAAGGACGAAGCGGGATTTGCCGCCGCCGTATGAAGTGGCGGTTCGTGAACCGCCGCCACCTTACGACATCGCTGTGCATTCGTAAACACTGGGGAAAAGAAAATTCTTCGGGCACCTGTTCTAAGTTCCTTTTTTTGTGGTAAAGCTTAATTTTCAAATCGAACTGCGTTATCTTTGAGAAAAAGGTAATGATCTCTGATTTGTCGTGTTCCAAAAGTATTCGTGTAGAGGTGAATGTGTTGAAGTTGTACGAAACGCAATTTCTTTGGCATATCTTTTTTTACAAGCAAATAATCCACATTTTTCGGTCGCACGATGAATTTTGTGGAAGATCTACTAAAAAAAATTTGTGAAGAGTAACTTCAAAATTTCAATTTTTGAAAGCGATTTTCTCGAGAAAAAATCCTGCTGGAGAAACCATTATTTAATTTTTCAAGTATTCTAAAACTTGTCAGATGAAAAGGATATGAAAATGATGAATGAGGATATGAACCTAGAATTTCGTTCGAATAACTGATTCTCGAAAAGTGCGTTATGTTCATAATTTCAAAAGCAGAAAATGATTTAAATTTGTTCGTAATATGAAATTTGGGACAGAATAATCATCTTATTCAAGGAACGTTAGACTAGCGAGAGCATCATTGAAAGGTGGTACAGAAATGAGAATGAACAAATTGACAGTTGATAACTGTGGCTCCGCGAAAAGATTATTCCGTTCTCATGTATCTAAAATGCTTTCAAAATACTGTTTCATCATTTAGGAAGGAGCGAAGGCAATTTTTTATTGTTATCAAATTATTCCATTGAGTTTGATATCAAGTCACCTCAATTTTATATTTTCTATGCGAATAAATTTTATTTAATGCAGTATATATTGAAGGATAAATTCTACATTTTGAGCACTTGCAACGGAAGCTCAAAAGAAGTAATATTTTTCATCGTCAGAAAAAATTGTCAACGAAAGAAGGTGAAGTTTTACTTGCACCTCTCAATTTATTGAATATTCTATGCATTTTTTGTTTGTTCCAATACTAATCGACGTTCAATATGCAGACAAATGCTCGGAAATTATCTCAGGCGACTGAGGAGAAAAGGATATGTTTTTTCTGTCATAGTTTTCAAAACCTCGATGTTTTCCAAGGTCGAACAATACGTGTATTTTGTGGGGTTATTTTCTAGTCAATGCGAAACTTTTGGTTGATCTCACGAACGAATGAATATCGCAGTTGATGGAATTTATTGTATGCGGAAGGGAAGCTTTTTTTCGAAGTTTTCAAGAAAGAGAGAAGGAGAAATGAAGAATGGAATGAGTTGTGAATTCGCTGTAATTGTGTGTGTTCGGACGAGAAGTTCGTCGTAATTGTGATGATGTGTCTTTGTCTAATTTCGGTTCGTATTTTGCTTCAATTTTTTCAATGTGTTTAGAAGAATGGAATGAGTTGTGAATTCGCTGTAATTGTGTGTGTTCGGACGAGAAGTTCGTCGTAATTGTGATGATGTGTCTTTGTCTAATTTCGGTTCGTATTTTGCTTCAATTTTTTCAATGTGTTAAAAAAGGAGAGACCACACCATATTTTAACAACTACCTTATAAGGGCAACGTCACAACTTCAGTCTTTAACTTACAAGCTTAATAACACGACTAAAAAAAGAAAAGCAGGACAGAGTCTAAGACACTAACTGTGTGAATTTTTATTTTTTTCAACTGCGGGATTTTCCTTCATTGGATATCGTTTTTGTAATCAATTTTGTTTGTCCATTTTAGGGATTGGGGGATTTAAAAAAATAGTCCCTCATAATCGCGCCATGCTGCTCTGGAGAACAGCACTGTTTTTTGTTCTTGTTGCTCTCGCCGCAGCATTGGACCTTGTGGACAATTCAGGATGTGTGTCCGAAGGAATGGAATGTGATTCTACTGAAGAGTGCTGTTCTGGCGGCATGTCCACATTGTGTTCCTCAGGTGTGTTTCTCTGTGCTGTTATTTTGACTTTTTCTGTTTTACAAAAAACTCAAGCATTGATCAGTATGAAAAAGTACAATATTTATGCCTCTGAAGTTCAGGCGACTGTTATAATGAATAAAGATTCAGTCAAATTCCGAAGGAATGGGAGAAAAATTGTCTGAAGGAGTTTTTGAGTTAGAGACAATAGCATTGATGATCATACTCCTTTGCGTTGATTGTGGCTCCACTAGGAAAAATTGAAAAGTCTTCCGAATTATTTCATTCATTTTTTTGTGAAAACTCCACCTGTGTCAATATTTTTGGTTTGAAGATTTTAAATGTTTTCAATGGCTAAAATACTCTACTTATATAATATGCTCGTCTACCAAGGAAAAACGCTGGGTATTGGCAAGCAAAAAAGAGGTCGTTTTCCTCGTAATTTCTTTAATTCATGAAAATGCATGCGACTGAAAAATCATAAAGATTATTTTTCTCTCTTGCTTCGATTGTAGCTCCGCATGAGTTATTGTCCAGGGAAAATTGAAAACTCTTGACTTAAAAATTAAATACTGAGGTTAACGCAGTTAGGTGATATGAAACCTCTAAAATTTACAAAAGTTATTGGTTTTATGACATACATGTTATACCAGAAAATGTTACCTTTTGCGGCCCTTAACCGGAGCAAAAAAGAGGCTATTTTTCTCGTGATTACTTTAATTCATGGAAATTCATACGTGATTCTTCTCAACTAGGCAAGTGTCGGTGTTGGGGCGGGATGCAGTGGCGAGCGTCCATCCGACGCTGCGTGCCCATCTACTCCTTTGGCCGTTTCGATCCCGGCGGAGACGATTACGACCTCCATCCACACGAAGAATACGTCCCCCCACCGGTTGTTCCCACGTGGAAACCCGAACCCCGGACGACTCAGACGTCGTCGGAAGGCGTCGAGCTGGCAGTTCAGCAGCAGCAACACGGCAGCCGTGTTAGCGGCGGGTTCCAGTCGCGTCTCTTCCGCCTCTAACCGCCGCCACCTTGGTCACCGCCGCCGCCGCAGTTATTACTCAGCTGTCGGGACGTGGCGTCCTGCGTCCTTGGCTTCCTGTGTTGGCTGTTTGTGACCTGAGGTCTATAGTCCGTTGCATTTGCCGTTTTTTGGTGTATGCGAGGGTCGAAGTGTTACACCGTTTTTTTCCAACTCTGGGTGGCGAATTTCGCACTCGCAAATGCTGCTAAATCACTAGCGCCCTCTGTGTATGATTATCATGCCGTGGCGTAAGCTCAACAACATGGTACAACATTGTATTTCAAATACAACTGAGATTATCGTACAGTACTGTACATTCACATATGGACGACGGTGGAAAAAACTTGAATGAGCAATTTAAATGATTTTGAATTTTGAAGATCAAGCTAATGGTCGATTTTGGGTCCGATTATTGAACTAAACTTTGAACTAGTTGAAACCATCCGGTTTTTGACTCCCTTTCAAATTTCACCGTTTTAGTTGTGATGATCGTATTTTTTCTGTGCATTAGGATTGAATAAAAAAATAAAAGCATAAAATAATACATACACAATTTTTAATTATAATGCATTTATTTTATTTTTTACCGTATTTTTAAATTTATTTATAATTTGTTTTTTCTTTAAGTTCTTTATTTTTTCATGTATTATTTATAAAATTTGTAAGCGTTTTTCAGACTTGTATCATAAAAGGACGCTCGTGAAGCACGATTTGCGGTGCTTTGAAGTTTGCCACCCTTGGCTTGAGGAAGCTGGGAAATTGTTTTTATTGTTTGTTGCACTAAAACGATAGAATTAGTGATGCTTCTGGTGTGTTCTAAGAGGCATTGTTTTATACACTGACCAAAGGAAAGAGGAAGTTGTTCACAAAAGAAAAGGAAGGTATACTGGTATAATGTGTTCGGTTTTTTGAAAATTTTGGGTTGCATTCGTGGGATAAATGCTGATGTAGTTGTTATTTAAGACGATGAGACAGAACAATCCTGTTATTTATATACAGTATATATATATATCCTGCCGTTTTCATACTTGGGTTCAGGACAATCAAAGCTTTACGTTATCTCAGAAGGCTACGTTTGAAAAGAAGGTATCTGAACAAGTGTTCCCATGCATATCCCGAATTTCTTTCTGTTTCCCACATTTTATTTTTAATTTCTTTTTTTGCGGGGCGTTCACGGGTCAGTGAAACTATTCGTGTTATGCAATCCAGTGAGACAGAGAATGCGCCGGTGTTTTTACCTCGGGGAATGTTTGTTAATCGCGTGTGTTGCACTTTATTACGTCAGTCTTTTTCACCTGAAAATTTTTGGTTTTTCTCATGATCTTTCTATGAGCTCTTTGACTTCTGCTGCTTTCCTGCCTTTTGAGGAACACGACAGTTGTTTGAGCTAGTGAACCCTGTGAAGAAGTTGATTGATCGTTGCCGTATTGGAGAAGAAACTAATGGAAGAAAAAGTTTTCGCAAAAAAAAAACGGAAAGCAAAGATTTTTATAGAAATGCTGTGGAAGACGGAATGATGATTTGAGAAAAAGTGACGCGTACATGAAAATTAGAGAGGGACTGATGATGGAATGTTGCTTTGATTTTGATCCACAACATGTCGAAAATTTGCACAAAGAAAATGTGTTCTGTTATCCGAGTTGGTTTTGGAAACGTTTCACTGAAATATTTGCGAGTAAAGTATCCTGTTCCGAAAATTCCGATGGAATCTTTTCCAACTGCCTGTCTGAGCAGTTTCGAAAGTAACAAAAAACAAGTGAGTACACGTGACAGAAAGAAATGGTGTTCCAAGTGGCTTCCTTGTAGATCCTCTCTGCAGTGATTTGCTTTGTTGGTTTCTTTTTTCGGTTGAAAAAAAAAAAATGATGGACGGATCTGGAGGATTGATATTTTGGGCCGTAAGCAATGTCTTGAGAGTGTGTGTTACCTTGTGTTTGGGATAACCCTGTGAGTCTGTGCGTGATGGAATTCGTTTGCAAGGAGGATTGCTTTTTCTCTATTTTTTTTTGTGTCCGAGAGGTTTTTGTTGTTGTTTTGGAAATCATGCGACCTTTGAACAGATTTGCATCTTTGCTTTTAAGGTTTGACGTTCCCTCTTGTCAGTGAGATTCTGATCAGAACATTTCCTGTCATAAAGCGAAATTTATCAACGCATCGTATTCGAGGGTTGGAAGAGTCAGCTTTTTTATGGCTGTCTTTTCTTTCAAGATTAAGGTACTGGAAGGTTGAAATACGATTTATTTTTAAAAGGAAACTCGCAAAACTGTTCGAGGATTTGCTGATGATCCATTTCTTGAATTTCTTCATTCTTCTTATTTTTTGACATTGAAAGAAATTTCTCTGTTCCAGTAGGTGGGAGAATGATGTGTTGTGTGTGTTTTCAAGAATTTCCAACTGAATGATCCTCCAAAATCTCGGGAGTTTTTCTGTTTGCTGGGTTCGTATGATTTTATATTATTACTGACGTGCCTGGAAAAGTTAGAGATTTTTGAAGTATACAAGGAAATTTGACTATTCTTTGAACTTATCCTGAATTAGGTAAAACAAAAATAACCTGAATATTTGAATCAAATTCATCCCTACACTGAATAAATCAAACTTAACCTAAACTATATGTATGAATCGAACTTGAACTAAACCAAATGGATCAAACTTAGCCTGAATTGAATAAATTAATTGTGATCCGCCGAAATTAAATGAATTACTTTTAATTTGCTCAAAATTTAATGAATTATTTTAAACGTGCCTAAATTAAATTCATTGAACTCAATTCAACTTGCATTTTTAGAATATTTGATATTCATTCTACTCCAGTGAAGTTACCTGATTTAACCTAAATGAATAACTTTTTTTTATCCAGCAGAAGTTTTCGAAACTTCGATTTAACCCAGCCTATGAATAATTGTATTCCCAACTTTTTTTGTTTTTGTGTAGACATGTTAAATAGCAGCCTCGCCCTGGCGCTGCTTGTGTCCATCAGTCCGCCGGCCATTGCGTCGTTCGAGTGCCGCAGCCAGGGCCAGCCGTGCGACATCCCCAGCGACTGCTGCCGGGCCCGCGGGCTCACATGCCGTCACGGCAACTGCTCTTGCGCCGACGGACTCAGGGCGTCGCCGTCGCCGCTGGGCACCACGTGCGTCCGCCTCGTGGCTTGCGGCACACTGTTGGCGGCCTGCAACGTAAGTGCCCCGTGTTGCGCCGGGCTCACGTGCACTGACGGCGCCGTCGCCATTGCTCCTGGACACTGCGCCGCCACCGGTTATGGACTCGGCATTCACGACTTTGAACCCGTGCTCAAGGTGGGGGGGGATTTTATTTTGAAAGATTTTTTTATCGATTTTCTTGGCTTGATTATATTGGCGTTGCACCGTATTTACTCGAGTACCACGCGCGCCTTTTTATTTCTTCTCAAAATTGAGAAGGAAGAAAGTGGGTCCAGGTCATAGGCGGGTATAAATTTTTCAAAAAGGGTCTAAAACTTCAGGTTTGCATCATCTTCGATTTAAGGAGAAATTTTTGACTAATGTTATTTTAATGGGAGCACTTCATAATTGGTCGAACTTCAGGATCAATTCATGTTAAAATTCAAATCTGGCTTTTCTCGCTTTTTAAATACTGGAGTATTGGGGTCACTAAAAATGTGGTTCGTGTCTGACTCGGGGACAGGACTTTATCAAAATGTTCAACTGAAAAACCGGGTGCATGTCGTACTCTCGGGCTTGTGGTACTAGAGTAAATATAGTACAGTACAGTATTTCAAAGCATGCAAAAAAACGAAGTCTTCAAATTGCTATTTAGTTATCTTTGAGCAAAGACAAGTGAGTTGTAAGTGAAGTAGAATGCATTCAATTTTGAACAAAAGTCAAATAATTTATTTTGTTTCAATTTCAAAGGTTCTTAGAAGTTTAAGTGTGCATTATGCAAGATTCTGATGGAAATGTTGGACCGAATTTAACACTAAAAGCTTATTTTATTGGGAACGACTGAATATTAGTTGAATTTAGGATTGATTCATGGCCAAATTCAAATTTGCGTGGTCCTACTTTTTAAATAGTTTACTTTCAAAGTCACTTAAAATGGGGTGTGCGTCTTATTCGAGTAAATACGGTATTCATCTTCTTTGTTTTTTTCTAGAGGGAATCAGGAGGAATTTCGCCGACTCGAGTCTACCTCACGCACTTCTCAGCCGCCTCTTTCCTAGTAGTGAAACTCGTTTTGAAGATCTTCGTCATCATCACGTGTTGCGCCTTGCTGCAGGACTGTCTGCGGCGGAAACGGCGTCCCCGGGAAGTGACGTTGCCGCTGTACAGAGTCGCCGCTCCGGGCGGTGCTGCGTCAGCTCGTGTCGGTCCCCCGGGAATTGCTGTTCGTGGCGGCAGTGGCGGCAATACAAGTGGCAGTAGCAGAAGCAACAGTAGGCGGTCCCGTAGGATAGGCGCTGCTAATAGAAGAGAGGCTCATGACGAAGAGCCGCCTCCGAGCTACGATGAAGTCACTGCGCCGCCGCCGAGCTACGAGTGTGTCGTGCAGCAAGACAACCGAGTTGGCAACGCTGTGTGATTTGTTTTTTTTCCGTGTGGATTGCTGATGCGGCGTGGACAAACGTTAAGGCAATTTGTTGCAACAGTTCAATCAAATTTCCTGAAACCTTTCGAAGTTGATGGAACTTGTCATCAATATCTTGTTTGTTGCATTGGGTTAGGTAGAATTGTATTTTGCAAAAATTTGTTGGATTGATTCAAATAGGTTAGGTTGAGTTGGTGACGCATTATTAAGACTCATGCGACATCTGGTCGAAAATTGCAGAAAACACTTTCTAGCGCATAAATAATCGCTTTTCTCAACCACTTCTGGGCGTATTTGGGATTAATTTTTCAAGGGCGATTTTCTTTTTTAATTGTTTGTTCAAGAACTGTTTGGAACAGAAAAGAATTTTATTGTTGTTATTCAAGGTGGCTCGAAATTATGATTAGCTCGAGTGTGTTTTGGGTCACTGTGCGTTGTTCCGGAGCTTTTTTCTTTTTTTTTTTGCAAATACACCAGAAGGAAGGAAACGGTCGGATGTTTTCCGAAAATGGCGCAGTACCTGTTTATCTCAGCCTATTTCAAGTTCAATATTCGATTCAGTGGTTTAAAAAATTCTGTATCTGTAATTCTCGGTGCTCATTTAGTGAGAATCTGACTATCTGAGGATACTTTTTCCTCGAGTTTTTGAAAATGTTCATGGAAAGAACTGGAGATTTCAGAATGCCTCTTGCAAACATTTCACGTACGTGAGAAAAATTCTTAGTGTCTCTTTTTGTTGATTGCCTTTGTATCAAATGAGTGTTCACGTGAATTTCGTGTATCAACTGTTGGTTGCTATTTGAAAGAAAAAAATCGGAATTTCAGTATTTTTACTGCGTCAGTCGCGTTTCAGCAATACCAAGTACCCGCATGTACCGTATATTGTTCCGGAATCTGCTAGTCAAAAGTTTTCGAAAAGCAACACTTTTATTGGTGCAGTAGCGTCTTTTTCAATTGGAATATGGTGTATTCAACTAGTGGTTCTCGTTGCGAGAATTTTCCTTTTTTGTGTATCTCAATGTATGATCTCAAAGAGTTTTTTTTTTTATTGGTGTTACAATAACATGCTTGGAAGGCAGAATATGTGCGAGAAACAAAATCAGTTACCTGTTCACTGAGAAATGATTTTTGATACCGATGGACGTTTTTTGTGTTGCATTTTATATGTCAGGAAAGAAGCTTGATCACAATACGGACGAGGATGGGAATATTTTCAACACGGATTTTTGTGATACGTTGCGCGGAATGTTACGTGGTTACCCCCGTTTTAACACCCCCCTTGGGAAATATACAAAGGGGGGAACACAAGTTTGTTATGTGTTTTGTTTTTTGTTTTACTTTTCGTGGCTCTCTCTTGTCTTTCAGGGACTTATACGAAGTCTCCTGTTGGAAATTTTTTTTTGGTAGGCTTTAGTGTGGGAATTCTGAGTAAATGGTGATATTGGTGCACTCAGTTCCTTTATTCCGGTACTGGATGATGATTTATTGACTGTCCTTGATGATTTATTTATTTTTTCTCTCCTTTCTTTTCAAGTGGGCCCGCGGGGGCTGGCAAGTGGACCGGGTTTGCAGGGTTGGAACAGTTCCAGGTCCGTGATGCTGAATGATGTTTTTGGCCTTGCTTTCAGAGGCCGTGTGGTGACTGAATAATTCCAGGGGGAAGGTATTGATCTCTTTGGGGGGGTCTTGATCAATCACCCAGTCATGTCAGCACTGTCAGGGCCTGATTGATTAGTTTCAAATTGCCTGGCTGGTGTCACTGCTGCCAAGGATATTTCCGGATTCCTGCTTTCTGCCAAAAAAAAGAATAACTTGGATTATTATGTGAGCATGTTTTGAATTTATTTTTGAAAGAAGTTCAGCAGTTGATAAACTTTCTTTGAATGGTCATTTCAAAAATGTCTTTCACATACTGTACATGTTTATTCTATTATAAATTTCTCAACTGTCCCACATCCCTTAGAAAATTACCCAAGTTATGCTTTGTTGTGGTACGTTATAGTGAAATCTCATTTTACAGCAAACTCATCAGGAAAATGGCCTTTTTACAACTTGAAATTGTTTCTAAAGGAATTCAAATGATGTGACTATTGGGTATGGAATTTTAAAATGTGTTTGTTGCAAGCAATGATTATTTATATACAGTATTACTGTATGTTGGCTTTCTCTACAAAAATCCCGTTTGCAACAATTTTCTCCATAGAAAATTATATTCTGGTTGCCGCATGGGGTTCTTTACATAATATTTTTCTCTGGTCTCCTGAATTTTTTTTTTTGTCCAGAAGTGTCCACCTCTTGACAAAATTCTTGAAAATTATTTGTTGTATCAAGTTTCTACTGTATGAATACAAAAGGAAGACCATCAAAAATTAGCCAGAAAATGAATTGGCTGCTTTACCCTGCTCTGGAAGTAATGTTAGCAGCCATGTTTGGCACACAAACCTTAATTGTTTGATGTGTACATTTTTTGGCGCATTAACCATTTTCATTTAGCTGAGGGCAGGTAATTTACCATGGTAATGTTGTCTGCTCTCTGAAGCAGGGTAGGCTGCTGTCTGAAACAACATTAATCCTCAACAATGAAGAGATTTTGATTTTCCATCTGCATTTTGAATTCAAATGAATTAATACATATGGAGTCTGAGGGAATTGTCCCTTATGTGGGACAGCGCTGCGTTTTTCATTTATTTACAGTATTTTGAATTCTTCAATAGATTTAATTGTATAATACCGCAATTAGGAATTCTTGTTTTACTTTTTTGAGAAGCTCTTCAAAAATATTGTACAGTATGATAAAATTATTAATGGTTCCTGATTGCTAATTTGATTGTTTCCAAATGTGCTTATGCAGTTGGAAGCTGTCTCTCTCTTTCTTTCTACAATAAAATGTGATGGATCATCACAAAAAATTCATTGTAGAGAGAATTTGGTTGTGGATAACCTCTATAACATGGGGAGGGATCCCTCAATCGGACCAAATAAAAATTCATTATGTGGAGAACATTTTTGTCAACAAAGATTCTTATAGAGAGAGTCCAACTGTAATGATCTGGAATTGATGAAATATTTTCAAGTTCATACACAAGCTCTGTGAAGCTAAAAAGATGCTGTTTAAAATCCTGAGGAAACCCAGCCTGTTTATACGTGCAGAATGTTCCCTGATGGTCAAAAAAAGTCATGCTGTGGAAGTATAACACAATGTAGAGCCTGGCAGTTGAGGCTGTCCAGAGCATATCCCAGTGGGGTAACAATTTTGTGATTCAAGACACGCTTCTGCAAAGGTGCCAAGATGTCAATACCATCCCCTATGGCGGAAATGGGAGTTTGGGGGGCACCAGCAGTACTTGACAGCTGGCTGTCAACGAAACTCCAGCCTGGAGAGTAACAGGATACTGGATACATGTGGGTGACGTCTGTTGAGTGAGTGCAGTTTTATACTTATGTATTTATTATTCTGCCTGTGATATTTTGAGATGATCATATGCATGATACCATAGCCTTTTCTCCAGATTAAAACAAAGGTTTGTCTTCTAAATGTATAATATTGTCTCATTTTAATTTAAAATTTAATGTATTAATAAGGAGCATGTGCATTCAGCAGGAGACTGCTTGTAAATGTTATCAATGGTATAGGGATGGGATACAATGCATATAATGTACATACAGTATTTGCATATATTGTACATACTGTATTTACATATATTGTACATACAGTATTTACACATATTGTACATGCAGTATTTACATATATTGTACATACAGTATTTACATATATTGTACATACAGCATTTACATATATTGTACATTCAGCATTTACATATATTGTACATACAGTATTTACATATATTGTACAGACAGTATTTACATGTATTGTACCATATTTAGTTATTTACATGCGTGCAGTTTGGATAAATATGTGTCTATGTCAGGAAATCTCCTTGTTTGTATCCCGCAAAATGATGAAGCAGTTTTTTTCAATTATTTTTAAATTGAAGTTGAAATTAATCAAGAAAGGGTCAGGTTTTAATTGACACTTGGATATGCATGAGTCATTAACCAAATAGGAAGAACAAGGGTTGTGTGACATAATTTTTTTATCAGGAAAACTTAAATTTATTCAGAAATTTTAGGTTCCTGGAAAGTCAGAACACCAGGAGCTATATTGATGACATTTTAATTTTGTGCATAAAAAATCTGGGGTTGCTTATATTTGTGTGAATATGGTAAGATGTAAATCACATAAAGTAAACTGAATCACAGTATTGTGTATTTTTCAGTATAAAAGACTGGTTTTTAAATATGTTTGGCTTCTAAAATTCAAACAAGTTCACAGGACTGCAAATACTGTACATTTGTTATTTTTTTTAGTTTGTATGTGAGCAGTGTTCCATTAGACTTGCAATTTTAATTATGAATGTCTCTATAATATATGTGCATGGGTTGATTCTTTGCGATTACATTATTTAGGTTAAATGAAAAATATGTACAGCATACCTTAATGATTTTTCAAGATTCAACTTGTGAGAAAATTTGGGTCAACTTCATACTGCACTGGGATAAAAAAAAAGTACAGTAGTTGTTACCCATCAGAGGAAGCCCAACTTGAACCACTCTTTCTTGCTATACATACAGTATTACAGTGTGATGAACCCAAGGGGATTCCTGGGGGGATGCTTTCATGGGACCCCAGTAGGGGATGCTTTTCAAAAGAGGGCAAACCGCTTTTTCCATGTGATGGAGGGCTCATTTCAGGAGGAGGAGGTGCTTGGCACTTTCATCCACATGGGATGAAAGGAGAGTTTTTGGAGGGTATGGAAGAGGGGATATGTTTGCCCACATTGTGACCTCTGACATGGTTTTCTGCTCTCTTGCACAGCTCAAATTGAGAAAATGGAATTTCCTGACCAGCTCTCTGTGTGTGCTGTGCTGTGGAGGTATCAATCAAGCTCTGTTTGCAGTTATATCTTCAATCTCAGATATTGACATACTGTATC